CTCAACTTAACAGTGTCGAGGTGTAGAAAAATTTGTTCTACATGTCTAGTCTATGGGTTGTCTGGTCAGTGATTGCGCTGAAAAAACTAAATCAATGTATCGATTATTCTCGATAAAAAAATCAGTATCGGGATGAGTTATCGATTTTAGGAGATAAACTCGATATCCGCGCTATCTTCTGAGACGCGTTCGAACATACGGACAGGGCCAACTCGACTCAGCTCGTCGCCCTGATCAAGAATATATGTACAATATACTTTGTGGGGTCTACCACGCCTCCTTCTGTGTCTTAGATACATTTCAACAAAACCGATTACCTTCATTTCACGTTTTTAATGGATTCGGGGTATAAAAAGAAATGAGATATAGCACTTGCCTGATAAGATATTGGCTTTCATCTTTCTGGAGGAGCGCATTAATGCCAAGCCAATCAACATCAGATCGAAGCAAGGTTTTGTCAAACTGCTATACAAATGTGCTACAGAGCTGGCAAACACTGAAATATCCTCCGTAAGTCTACAAAGATTAAAAAAAAAAAAGAAAAAAAAAACGGTGCACAATATTAATTATACAAATTATATGTACATATATAATACCTGTGATCGGCATTTTCGATGCGTCCGTCCAGATTCGATACTCGATAGTAGTTTTGATTCTTGAAGTACAAACGATACGAATGACGCACCAATCGAGTTCTGTTCAAAGTTGTATATATCATTTTTATATACTTCGTATTTGTCTATATACTTATATTAACTAAAGGTTTCTTCGGCATTCGAATATCTTTAAGGGATAACAGATATCCGAACGACAGGAAAACAGATTAACAACTATCCTGATGCATACACATTATAATTTACAAAATTAAATTGGACAGCTTTTTGTTTTGATTTGATTGATATTTAAATATATTTTTAACAAGTTGTAATCATGGCAGAATTTCTTCAACTGCAAGCTGCATATGTGAAGTTTTGAAATATATACTTTTCAGCTGACGCTGAAAATAAGTTAAGCATTACAGCATTACAGTATATATATATATATATATATATATATATATATATATATATACATATACATATGTATATA